GTCAGATGGCACGGGTTCCATGTGACGCTGGTCTATGTAGTCCTGCATGAAGCTACCATAAGACTCAGCGAGATCGCTATCGCGATGTCTGCGCTTCTCGGAGCGAATGAAGCAAGCAGCGGCGATATCTCGAGAGGCGGAAAACTTTGGCGTGCTTTGGAAAGGCAGCTTAACCACGAAACGGCCGTCGGCATTGCGAAAAGAAGTCTGATGAAACGACTCCTCGCATTTGCTCTCGTCGCTCGTGAGCAAGGATTTGCGTGGCGCCTCCTCGATTTCCCAAAACTTCTGTAATTCTACTGCAAGTAGATTATCAGTGTGAATGTGAAACGCGCGAACGTGCATCGTGTTGCTTGTCTCAACGCTAGCCAGGGGTCCCGTGAGCAGCCATCCGAAAGAGGAGTTTTGAGCTAAAGGGGCGCCCGCTGGACCGCACTTTGTCCCATCTTGAATGACCGACGGATAGACGTCGGCACCGAGGATGCAGTCTATCTGTCGAGACTCGAAGAACTGTGGATCGGCTAACTTGAGCCCTCAGATATGAGGCAATTCCGAGGTTACCGCATGCTTGTAAGGCAGAGGTTGAGAGAGCTTAGGCAACACTAACGCCGAGACCGAGATCGTTAAGTTGGATTCGCCTCGGGGTGCCACCTTGAGTTCAGCTTCGCGGTGTGCTGTAGAAGAAGCGCTTCCGCCTACTCCGACAACCTTGATGTTCACGGAACTACAAGGAAGTCCCAGCTCTGAGATCACGTGATGCGTAATGAAGGAGCGCTCGGCCCCAGGATCAACAAGAGCGCGAATGCGAAGCCGCTTGCCGTTGGGGCCAATCGTGATTAGTTCAGCGGTCGCAAGAAGAATTGTGCGACAAACTAATGCATTGTACGCAGCAACAGAAGGGCCGGCAGGCTCGTCCGAAGGATTGTCATTCTTGTGAGGGGCACTAGCGCGCGAGGAAATCTCCTCGTTGCGCGGCTTTGCTATTCTCTCGAAGTGCAACTTCGAGTGGTGCTTTGCATCGCAAGTCACACAACGATTGGGAGAGGGGCATTTTTCCACAAAATGCGACGCTCTCAGGCAATTTACGCAAAGCCTCTCGCGTTTGCATAAATCCCAGCGCTGCGATACCGGCATGCATTTGAAATCGCGGCACCTATTTACGTAGTGATTGCCTTTGCAAGCTACGCAGCTCTTTGTTGTACCGGCGGACTCGTCCGTTTGCGCAGCGTTCGCCACGACGCGTTTAGAACGATCGCCGCTTTGTTTTGATGCCGAGTTAGCTTTTCCGGCGTCGCTCGACTGCGAGCCGACGTGAGCCTGCTCGAGAGCGTGAATTCGGCGCTCCAGGAAAGTGGTTAAATCTGCGTATGAAGGAAAGCCAACCGTCCGGTCCTGCGAAACTTCCCACGCCTCGCGAGACGTTAAGTCGAGCTTACGAATGACGCAATGAACAACAAAATAATTAGTTTGCTCGATCGGGCAACCGAGATCTATTAGCGCGCGAACCGATTCCTCTGCACGATCCATTGTTTCGTTAAGATCCGCAACATTGCGAGCTTTAACAGCTGGAAGCTAAATCAAGCTCTCGATACCGTTAAACAAACGTATGCGTGGATTATCATAGCGACGAGTAAGCTTTATCCATGCGACCTCGAAGTTTGCGTCTGTGAGTTTGATACCCTTCAGACGTTGCGCAGCCGCGCCCTGCACTGCATTGAGCAAGTGCTGCAATTTTGCTATCGGCGGGACGGTGGCCTTCGAGACGACAATCGAAGAAAAGCGCTGCTTGAAGCTCTCCCATTCCTCTTGTTTACCCGAGAAAGTGGGCAGAGCAATCCGTGGCAAAGACGCGTATTGCTCCGCAGCATTAGCGTTGATAATAGGCGCGGGAAGTTGACCAGGAAACAGCGCGGGGCTCCTAAGCTCCGAAATTCGCGTCAAGAGGCGCGCTTTCGCATCGCTATACGCCAGCTCAACTAGCGAGTATACATCGTCCTTGAAGTAGCTATCGCCGGCTAGCTGCTCTTCGTACTCGAGCAAGTCCTCGTGTCGAGAAATGAAAGTTGACCAATAGTTCTCGAGAATACCTAGCCGCGTCTCAAAATGTGACAGAGTTTGTTTTTCTACGGCGACCTTGACGGTCGAGTTGTCGTAGAAATTTGTTATATTCGTCGTCAATTTTGTTTGGGATCGGTGAAGCTTATCCATGCTGCTTAGAGACGTAAGCGTTTAACGCGATCAAAACAACGACTCGAGAAGTATGCTTGTGAGTCGCGGCTCACTGCGAGGCCAAGCGACTACAGCGAATAACAGAGATAAGCGAGCGCGCTAGTAAACAAACGCTCTCCTAGTAAGCGACTAGATGTATCGGCGTACTCGCTCGATATAGCACGATCGGAATGTGGCCTTGAAGTCTTCAAAAACGAAATTTGCCGAACAAGTTGAGATAATTGTCTACTCACAGACCTTTTTCCGTTTTGCTCTACTTATCGTAGCCGAAGAATGGCTCTCGGAGAAACCTGTAGTGAAGCCGATGAGACGAGTAGACAACAGAAGCTGCTCGTTGCGATGCCACCAGGAAGCCCTGCTGTCCCGGCTAGCTGCACAGCTCCGTTATCGAAGATTTCATCGTGTTTGTCGAGTTCCGCTGCTCTCGTACAGGCAACCACGCTCTGCTACCAATGTTTCGTTTCGAGCCTCTAGGTCGCAATGGACCGTTATCAAGGTCGCGGGGGGGAAACATACCCGTTATCGTTGACAAATGCCTGTAGAAAAAGGGAAAAATAAAACGCTCAACACGAACTCTTCGATGATAGGAAGCAACTTGTATTTTTTCTTTACAGCAAATATGAAGATGAAGGCGAATCAGAAAAGAAGACCGGAAAAATGACGCTAATAAGTAAATCAATTGTAAATATGGACTGTGCTTAGACGACGGAGATAGAGGAAGGCTCTCCTTGGCCAGCGTGCGTCGCTTGGTCAGTGCGATAAAGACCAAAAATATGCCGATCGAAGCAGACGAGTACTTAAGTCACGCTCGTTCTAACGCTCTTCGATTGCAACTGACTCGCTCGTGGTTTGTCTAGAGAGACTGGACAACGCGGCGACAATTAAGGGAGGGGGGCCCTTTTGGGAGAGATCCACCCGCGTTGCGGTGCCACGAGGCCTTCGTCTCTCTCTTTCTCGCTCTCAATAAGCGTATACACACATACGCGAACAACACCAAAACCGAGGGCTTCAAGTACTTTTAAATAAGAAAATGATAGGTAAACATTTGTTTGTTAAATTAAATATTCTTTTCCTACCTCAGGCGAGAAATTGAAGCACACACAAGTGAGCGCTTCAAATTATTTCAAATTAATTAAGCCTTAAAAATTTTGAATACTTGATAAATAAATGAAAGCGTGGCCAAGCGGTCGTTTTGGGATAGTAGGGATTACATGCTTGAGGTGTTATTTGTTTACTTAATAAAACGAGTGGACGAATATGCACATTGGGTTATACTCAGTCAAAAATTATGAGCTGAAAATTTAGTTTTTAATTGTCACTTTAATTATAGCTATAACGACTTATATTCATAACTATAATCAACTAAAATGGAAAAATAGCCCCGGAGATGATGACACTCATGTAGTAAATGCTATTTTTCCTACCGAGGGAGCACCAGCCTCTTAAAAACGCCCGAGGTAGGAAAAGAATATTTAATTTAACAAACAAATCTTTACCTAACATTTTCTTATTTAAAAGTACTGGAAGCCCTCGGTTTTGGTGTGATCATATGGATGATAACAATACTAATGGCTATCATAATTACAAAAAAAATAGATTTATAAATATTTTTTCTTTGGAGTTCGCGCAAAACTTATAGCTTTCATTAAAGCTACTATTAATAACTAAATTTTAAGCTAACTTTTGACTGAGATAACTTTAAATTACATTTAATATATATATTTAAGCATGAGTGAACTGAACGTATTCCGTTACTGGAGTTAGCTTTTATGCATGCAAGCTTTTCTATAGTTAATCATCCATGAAAAAATTAATATTTTAATCTATTTAACTACAAGAAAATAAAAAAAAAAAAAATAAAAAAAAAACCAGTTGCCCGCTCTTAGTCGAGTTCGCGTAGAAAGGAATATTGTGATTCTTACGAGAGCNTCATAAATGTACTGGAACTCAACGTAAGATTGTGCGAAGAAAGATGTACACAATAAAATACAACTATGTTGACACTTGAATCCCATAGGACGTTCTTTCTGAGTGTTTTTCATATTGCTTCGTAGGCCCACAGTTCTTGTTAAACTCACTAAACCATTTCTGGATTTTCCAAAAGTAAACTTTTTTCTTGTATTCCAGTACTTCCGTAATTATTCCTCATAAACGCCAACTATCAGCTTCCTCATTTCAAAAGTCGACAAACTCTACTCTTCGTACTAGCGATCCCAGCCATGGCTCCTGATTCGGTGATAGATATGTTTGTAAATTGGAATGTAATTTGGATAAGGCTTGTAGTGTGGTATTATGGAATGTTTGATGATCTCGATAGGCACGGGCTTTTCTACCAGTACGGGGGTGACCTTTTCTATGGGCACAAGCTTCTTTTTCTCAACTATCTGTGAATAAAGAAAAATTATTACTACAAAAACTTACTGCTTTCTGTCTTATCATACGATAATCAGTTGACTTTTCATACATTTTAACTACTATTCAACTTTTCACCATCATTTAAAACAATGAAGTGCATTTTGTGATAAACGAAAAATGATATCTCATGATGATTGACTACATCGGGTAGTTCAACATTATTATATTTTTGCGGACTGAGAGAGCTTGATGATAATTTTAATAGACTTATTTAATTAAACTAATAGGTCTTATGTGATTTGTATCGTGAATAAATAAATAAATAAATAAATAAATATATTAATCTATACAAACACGAAGTACAAAAAAAATTGGTTTCAAGAGTCTCGAGTTCACAACCTTTGGGTCTATAACAAAGTGCGAATCCAATTGAGCTTACACACTACCTATGCATCCGAAACAAAAATTCATTTTATTTCAAATTTAGCATAAGTTGTACTTATTTATTAGATGTTTCTATTTTCTTTAATTTGGAAGAAGAGCTTGTTAATGTGCAAAGTTTTAGGAAACAAACGAAAAGGCAGACAAGCGAGCGCATTGGGTCATTTGGAATTAGCTGTATGGGATTTAGATTATTTGGGAATAAATAAAACTGCAGGCAACCAAGTGCATAAGGTTATTGGAAATAAGTTGTTTGTGGTAAATTTATTTAGGAAATACGCATAATATAATTTAAATACCAGTAACTTTATTGGGTTAATTAAAATTAACTTCTTGGGATTGGGTACAAAGTACATTTTATACTTAATAGCGTTTAGATGATAATAAATAAAAAAAAAAAGGTCTTCAAGACTTCACTAAAATATTATAGGATTTAAGCTATAATCAATGTTTTCACTACAAAACTAACGAGAAAAAAATTATTTTTGAACTGACACCTACCTTAACTTAAAATTAAACTGACACCTGCTTGGAGTAAAATTTGAGCTGTCACCTTTTTTAATGAAATTTTAAACTGACGCCTTCTTTAACCAAAACTTCAGGTGACTCCTTTTTCTGCTGAGCCGTTGATATGATTATATTAGATTTGTTAGCTTACATTTCAATTTTTTTGATGATTTGATGTTACTTGAATGTATCATTGTAGAGCTTATTTTTGCTCACTCATTTAATGAATTTGTTTCGTTTAATAAATAAAATCTTTGAAGTACGATATGTCTGTAAGTTCTTATAGTTTCGTGTTTGTATGTAATATTTCTAAATTTCTAATTATGCTTTATTGTGGGCACTTTGATTCATATTATGAATAATTGTATTTACTAACAGCTTATTGTTGGTAATGCGTTGTACTCTCTCACATGTACTTTTCTTGACTGAATCCTTACACTTTGATTAATGCATTTTAATTTCAGTAGAATAATACGCTTTGGTGACTACATTTATTTTGATGAAAACAATGATTACAAAATTTTTTGAATAAATAATTATGTTAAGTAAGTAAGGGGTTGCGTATTACAAAAAAAACAATGATTGCACACTTATTTTGATTTTTGTTATAAAGTTTATGTTAAAAATATTACCTTAATATTCATGTTTGGTAAATGTCTAGCAACTCGTGTTTAGTAAAAAATATAACTTTTCAAACATTAGTAGTAAGTAAGGGTGCTAGAAAAATAAATTTCGTATGATTGAAAATCAATGTGTAAAATTGTTTGCTTATTAGTTTCATAATTTGAAACTTATTAATTTGAGTCGTTGTTAATGCTTAATAAACGTTAAAAAAAATTTTTTTAATCACAAATATTGAAATAACCAAAAAAAAAAGATAAATAAATTTATTAATCAGACTCATGGAATTGACCCCATGATCTCTACGACCAAAAGTAAGTAAGAGTTCCCCTGCTCTGCTATAAGCAATCAGATATGTTACGACAATATGATTACATACGTTCGTTGGCTTACCCCTGTGCTTATGACAATGTCTGGACCTTACTTCAATTATAATGTAAACTTACTTATTTAAAAGCTAAAATTAATTATTTATTTTGACAATATTATTCTTCTTCATACATACAAAATCATTTACATGTGAAACACTTATTCACAAAAGTGCAAGTTTTTGCTATCTGGCAACACTGTAGTATAAAATGAGACCCCAATAAACTCTTTAAGAATACTTTTAGTGTACGTGTTGCATCATAACCTTTATTTATTACAATGCATAATGATTGGTGATATTTAAATATTTTTTTGAAAAAATCCATATTATGATAAAAAAAATATGGTTTGTTAGTAAGTATTACGCGAAATAAGATGAAATAAATTCAACTCCATATTAAGTAGAACAGGATTGCTTCTACAGTTAAAGTTCTCTGTAGCTCAATGGTAGAGCTGTAAGCTGGCACCCAAAAAGCCCGAGTTCGAAACTCAGTCACTACAATTTTTTTCCACATATTTTAATATTTCTCTTTCCTTTAAAGAATTAAGGGGGTTATCGTGATATTTCATACGCCACAGAACTATGAAAAAAATTATGAGACATTTATGGTATTACTGCACATACTGTATTAAAATTTTAGAAGAATAAGTAGCTTTATAGTTTTTGAGAAAAAAAATCTTAAAGT